GTGGACGGGAGGCTGCGGGACAGAGTGGCGCATTATACTTTTAACAGACTGGAGAAGCAGAGTACGAAATCTGCCCAAACCACGCAGATAGAGTCAAAATGTTAAATGTGCGGAAGCAGAGTGCAAAAAACACCGAATAAAAGTCCTGAAAAGCAGCATGCTTACCAAACTAGGCAAAATTTGACCAAAAACAGATTAATTAACAGCAGTAACAAGTCCGAATTTAAGCTAGGTCAAACGACCCTCTGAACTTGATCACACGTGTTTAGAATTGGAAATGGATAAAAAAGCAAGAATTTCCATTAAAATACTTGTCTTACCTGCAATCAAAGGAACAGCATTATCCCGCTGTTTTTCTTTTGTCTCTTTACTGCCCCGGACTCCTGCAGCCTTTTCGGAGCCATGACTGTGCCCGCTGCATCCTCCGCAGGTGTACTGCTGGGGCGTGGGGTGGGGTGGGGGGACGGTGTGACACGGTCCATCTCCTTTACTTTTTGTATTGTTTTCTCTCTGTAAACATGCTGTTAACTTGCTTTGCACATCTTCTAATTGAAATCTGTCTTTATTATATTTTTTTTTTTTTCATAAGCTTGAGTTTGGTGCGCCTCCCCCCGCGTGGTGCCCTAAGCGCTGTGCGTGGTGTGCGTGTGTGGAGCGCCGGCGCTGTTTGTGAGTTTAGAAAAGAAACAGATGACAGCGTGTCCGACAATTTTGTTTTTCGTCTGACAATGTTAGAAGCTGTCAGTGATGTCTGAGATGCTTTTACAAACACTGTATAACTTCTGGGGAGCCCAGTTATAGGGGTGAGGGGTGTTCTGTTTTGCCTTGGCCCCCCAAAATGCCTTGAAACGGCCCTGGGTTTGTCTGAGTTTTGAAGGTGATCTGAATTGTATCAGATGTATAAATATTACATGTGTGTAACTTATTGTTTTGTACAGGTAAAAACGTGTAGTGGGGATAAACCTATCTACATTTTACTTTTCAACACTTTGCTTTGTTTTCTTGTTTTTATTGAACTATTTCCTGTCCTGTCTGTCTCTCATCTTCCTGCATCTCCTCTAAACTCTCCAGAAAAACTGCTGCCTGGATTCTTACTTTTTCACCTCATCAGTTACTTTTGAACTAAGCAGATCAAAGGGATCTCCTGACCGCAAAGCGTAATGCGCGTTTCGATGCTGTGTCAGTGAGGTGAAATCACCGCATCACACGATGAGTGGAGTGCATCAGGAACGATTAAAAGACAGAATACCAGAGGGTTTAAACAGATGCGAATGATCATGTGTTAATAATAATGTTTTGTTGTGCCACTTTGTGAATGTATCGTGGGCCGGACGCAGCGCGCGCACCAACGATCAGCACTCTGCGTCCTCTCCGCTCAACAGAATCCCGCTACGCTGAGAGTCCATAAATATTGTAATAATGGTAGAAAATGGATCTTTCCCTGAAAGATATAGACCCCATAAGTCGATCCCTGCTCCTGGATGAAAAACAGGACACTTTATTCCATGTAGGAAACCCTACCGGACGCCCCGGACAGAGAGTGAAAAGTGGACATGTCCGGGGAAAAGAGGACGTATGGTCACCCTATTTAATGCGTCATTCTGTGGAGCTGTTCTGATCTGATGGATCACCACAAAAGCCTGAGAGATGGTGGACAGAATCAGCCCAGACTCACAGTTGAAGTTCAGGGGAAGGGCAGAAACATGGAGACACAATATAAATTGTTATCACATTTTTGGCTGTTTCCCTTTGGTTATTCCTTCAACACAGTATTTTGCAAATGCAAAGGACTTCACATCTTTTTTAGGCCATGTTTAACTGTTATGAATCCTGGGCTCCTGCACCTTGAATGGCCCAGTCCTGCTCCCTCCATGCCATTCAGGACCTTGGACGGGTCCTCGTCAGGCTGGCCTCCACCTCTGCCCGCCTTCGCTGTCCCAGCTGCATACAATCAACTAATGAAGACCGATGGTTTAAAGGACTGCAGCTTTCAGTTCTCGTGGAGAGACTCACAGCTTAACACCCTGTCTTTCTCTCCTCGGTGTGGATCTTTGTGGACTTACGTTTTCGAATTGGATAAAGAACTTTTATGATTGTGATAATTAGAATAGATAGTTCTTTTCATTTAATCCTCGAATAATTATAAGCTATTTTCGTTTAGTGATCCATGTTTCGTCTGCTCTAGTGCTTGAATTTCAGTTCTTTTCAGCCTTAGAGCTCTCTTTAAGTTTTGCTAGTAGTAATAATATTTATCATAGTTATAGCCATCGAGATTTGTTTTAGTTAGCTAGCTCCGGCATGTTTTTTCGTTAGTACCGATATTCTCGTGTTTTCTTCCCTGAGACCGTTTGTCTCAGTTGTTTTGAGTTTTCTCCATCGCCTTCGTTAGTTATATCCCAGTGTAATTGCGTTTTGACATTTTTCCAGTCAAGGACTGAGTAATTGTGTTAGCCCTGTGTTAATAAAAATACATTTTATTTACACTCCCCCTTTGTCCGCACCAGTTTTTATGTTACCCCTCTTCCACAATGTCTAACAACATCAGGGTTTTTAACATTAACCCTGAAGTTTCCATTGATATTAACTAGGCCCTATCAAAATAAAAATGTTTTAAGTCTAGTCTTAAAAGTAGACAAGAAGTCTGCCTCAAGGACTAAAGCTGGGAGCTGCTTAACGACAGGAGAGGAGCCTGATGGCTAAAAGATCTGCCTCCCATCCTATTTTTAGATATTCTGGGAACCACCAGTAAACCTGCAGTCTGAGGGAGAAGTGCTCGGTTAGGAACGTATGGAACAATCAGGTCACTGATGTATGATGGAGCTTGATTATTAAGAGCTTTATATGTGAGGAGGAGGATCTTAAAATCTATTCTGAATTAAACAGGCAGCCAATGTAGGGAAGCTAAGACAGGAGAGATATGATCTCTCTTTTTAATTCTCATCAGAAGTCCTGCTGCAGCATTTTGGACAAGCAGAATACTTTTAACTACATTCTGTGGACTTCCTGAGAGTAATGAATTACAGGAATCCAGTCTTGATGTAATAAGTGCATGAACTAGTTTTTCAGCATCACTCCTGGAAAGGATACTTCTAATCTTAACAATATTCCGAAGGTGGAAAAAGAAAATCCTACAAACCAATTTAACGTGAGATTTGAATGACATGTCCTTGTCGAAGAGACCACACACACACACACACACACACAGACACACACACACACACACACACACACACACACACACACACACACACACACACACACACACACACACAAACAGGTGACTTTATGACCATGTGTTTTACATGTTTAAAACACTTTATTATGTACACATTTTGAGAAAAGGTTGCAGGAAACACATTTTCATAGATTAACAATATTAATATAAAAACAGGCATTAAACAAGAAATATGACTCACACACACACGAGTCATGTTTTTATCTGAATTTTGTTACGATAAAAACAGAATTCAATACCAAAAGACAATCTTGAAGAATAGAGGAAACATCAGCTTGAGGAAAATTCCAGAGGAAAAACATGACAATGTGTTTATTTCCAGTCTACACTAAGCAGATCATTTCAGAACATTAATATAAAAATAATATTATTCTTATTTCTATGCTGAAGGATTGTTGCTTTATTGTTCAGTGTTATTGATCACTGCAGCTGTGAGAGAAGAGCTCCACAATCATCCAGCCTGTCCAGCTCCTCCACCACCTCCACCAGGCACTCCACCTTCTCTGATGACAGCACCACCTCTGCGTTGCTTCTGAACTTCTTCCTCAGGCTCTCGTTTGTCAGCGGGTTGCGCCAGTGGCCGTAGAAGGTGTCACAGCGGCCCTTCAGGATGTCTCCTCCAACTAGAGTCACCTGGACTTCTCCGTACATGCGGTTGAAATTGGCGGGGTTGTCCTCAGGATGCTCCATGCGAACACGGCTCAGCAGGAAGTGCAGCTCTGGGCGGCTCATGGCGGGCGGGCTGAAGGACTGCACTGTCACCTCACCGTCCAGCAGAGCGCTGCAGGCGTTAAACTGGAAGGAGTGGCGTGCCTCGTGCTCTGACTCGGGAAAAGGCCTGTTGATGTATTTAGACTGGGGGACTCTGAGCAGGATGTCCTGGACCTGATGTGGGGACACCTGTCCTAGACCATGTCCCACAAGGAGCTCATGGACTGCAGCTGCAGCATCAGCTACCCAGTGCATCCCCAGATGGGCAGGAAAACGCTTAAAAGCCATGTCCTGCTCCTCTAACAGGAACACATGTCCACCATCATCAGGTGACTCTAAAGGCTGAGGAACATAATCTTCATAAAAGGCGCTGAAGCCCGCCACTCCTGCAACAGCATCCAAGACCAGAGGACTGGCCTCTAGGCCTCTGGAGGCCAGCAGAGCAGCTTCAAGACCCAAACGAGAGGCGTTGCCGATGTGAAGGGGCTTGGACTGAGTGGCAGCATTAGCCATCGGAGCTCCAGCTAGAGAAGCTGCTATAGCCAAGGCATGACTGCACTGAGACGGATCCAGAGACAGGAGACGAGAACAGGCTGCTGCACTTCCCATAGGACCCACCACAGTGGGAGGATGGAACCTGTTCACACACACACACACACACACACACACACACACACACACACACACACACACACACACACACACACACACACACACACACACACACACACAGTTCAGTTAGGACATTTATTCTGTTGTAACTGAAACAATCACTGATCTGCATCACCACTTAAGAACGTTTCTATTGGTTGAATCTTTAGAACAAGATGAATTGATTTGACTCGTTTCAGGTCACCTGAGTTTCTAAAACACCCACCAGATGAAGGGTTTGGTTTGTGCTAATTCTGTTAACGTTACACCAAGAGCCCCTGCTGTTCCTACAGTAAGCATCATTACACTGACATCACTAAAACGGCCTCTTACACCTCAGTGCTGAGATCAGCACAGTCAAACAAGGACGTCTTTAAGCGAACGTGTTCATGAAGATCGTGCTAAAACCAGACTTTCTGGTTCAAGCTTGACTTGTGCTGTGAGGCACTGACCTCTTGGGAATGCAGCGTGCTTCATTAGAGAACCTCATCAGACGGCCCTGGATCTCAATGCCGACATTGAAGGCCAGTAAGAAGTCCAGACCGCTTGGTTTGCTGTTAGCCGGCATCATGTCACTGAGAGCAAACAAAGCTGGGAGAACAGCTCCTGAGGGATGAGTGGCTGGATGCCACGTGTCGTCAAAGTCCATGGAATGAGTCTGGAAGCAACCAGAGTTTGTGTCTCATCATACTGAAGCTGAAAGGAGTCAGAATAATAACTTTTTCTGTGAGGGTCATAACTAGATCAGAACCCAGCTATGTCTATATCCTAACCCTGTGGTCTTTGGGAGCCACGCTGCACCAACAGCTGAGAAAAGCTGTTTATACAAAATGTTTCCACTGATGTTTATGTGGTTATTTATATATGGTTGTTTTCCACTTATGTTTCTCACCGCTACTCCATTAACGAAAGCTGTCAGTGTTGGGGAGAGTCTGATCCCTCTGCGTCCGTACACAGAGCTGATGTGATCCGGAGCATACATGTGCTAAGAACAAACACAGAAACAACCCTACATTCACTCATCTGTTCTGGACACATTTGGGTTGGACCTGACTCAGACTTTCACTTTGCCTCACCTGGCAGAACTGAAGAGCCAGCTCAAACACATCTGTCCTGCTCCCTATCAGTCCGACCCCGATGCTGTCCAGCACCATCCTTTTGCTGCGATGGAGCACAACCGGAGACAAATGCTGAGGCTTTATTTCACTGATGAACTTCCCAAAACTGGCTGTGACCGTATCTTCTGGGGCTGGGTGCTTCTGGACTGCAGGAATGAAAAGATAAAAGTTGTTTAATAAAGGTTATTAATTAAGGTTATTATTATTATTTTTAATCAAAGTCAGCATATCTGTTTACCCTCCACTGCAGTGTTATGCAGTCTTCTGGCAGCCCGCACTGGTCTGATGGTTTTCTTTGGGACAAAACATAAATCAGAACAAAGCATTTCAGTTATTTTTCACATCTCAGGATGACTACAGGCTGATGAGTTCCTGCATTAACTTGTTCACGTCTTTAATCTAATGTTTGTGTTTGAAAGAGCCAGTGTAGAGGTGTAACAGGTGTTTCCCAGCATGAGTGTTCTCCTCAACAATTAGCAGGAGTTATTTTATAGTTCCCTGCCTTGGCCGCACTACAAACCTCTACTTTTAGATATTTTTATGACTTCTTTATTTGAAAAGGACTTAAAACCATCACTTTTAGAGTCTGAAAACTGACTAAAAGCATAAATATGTCGGTAATCTTACCTGTAGCGTGGAGAACATGACTTCAAGTTTCTGTCACAATGATCTTGTTTCTTGTTTCTCTTGGATGCAGCAGCTGAGCAGTGAAGGATGCTGATGCTTTTGTGGCTGAAAATCCACCTGCCTTATATAGTCCAGGACTTACAATGACCGGAAACACCAAAGGAGCAGGAAGGGCAGGTTCCTTTTGCAATCCTGCATCACATCAGAATGAGGCTTTTCCAACCGGGTCATTATCTGTGGTGTAACGTTCACCATCATCAATAGCCTTGAGGGGGAGGAAGGAGAAAGAAGGAGGAAAAGCCACTTTTGTGTAAAGTGAAAGGCAGTGATGTCACCTGTAAGTATGCTGCTGTGTGACAGAGTGGGGAATTCTCAGTAACTCCTCCTTTACACAAACAGATCATATTTAAGGCAAACCTTCGTCCCTCCTTCAGCATAACTCAGCTTTCCATCAGTCTGAACAACTTCAACAGGTAAAACTTTGTTCTTTCTTTTATTGCCGACAGGAGTAAATATTTTGTTTCTGCATGTCACCCATCAAAAATCCTTAAACCTAAAGCTAGATTATTATATACTCTGCTTTGTAGATTGAATCAGACCTAAATCTGCATAAAGGATGCTCCCTGACAAGAGTTTATTTATAAATATTAAAACTATTATTGCAATATCCTGTAGTTTTTCAACAACATGAAAATAACAGTAATGTTTGGGGCATTATTCTATTGATAAAATTGTTTTCATTTAGAATAAATTCTTCCTCTTCAGAGAGCCTGTTAGAGGAGCGTCGTAATAAATGACTTTTACATTAGTTACATGACAAGAGTGGCTCAGCCTACTTATGACAGGCAAGGACCGTCTTATATTATATTATATTATATTATATTATATTATATTATATTATATTATATTATATTATATTATATTATGCTCAATCTTTCATTGGTTCCTTTTAAAATTAATATATTAATGTTGTTGTTGACGATTACCATTTTAGACTTTTATCATATGTTTGGATTGTCTACAGAAACACCATGGCAGCAGACGGGTTTCCTGCCAGTTTCTACGGAGAACCAGGAGTATTAGGAATGTTATCACTCCAGGCAGCCTATGGATTCACAGCTGGAGGTGTTGCTTTACTGGTCAATAATGCCTTCCTCATGCTGATTGGTAAGGTCTAGTATCTGCTTTCAGCGCTGGAATTCACAGTTTTTATTGATTCATAATTTTGTACTTTTGTTTCTTCTATTAGCTGCTTATAGGAACGTGGTTCTGTTGTTTCTAACAACAATCATGGAGGTTGTTCTTGTCTGCTTCCTTCTCTCCACCCTGCACAGACTTCCATTCCAACTTGAAAGTGAGTTAAAACCGCCTGTTATAAACTTTATGTATTTACGATACTGACTCTCATCAGAACAAATAAAGTCTAACATCCAGAAATGATGTATTGCAGTTGCCATGCTTGCATTGGTATCCATCATTTGCTTTTATGGCACCTTGGCTTCACTGATGAACTGCATCGTCTCACAAAGAGTCATCCCAATGGGTCCTCCCATAATAAAGGTAATGACTGAAGTTTAGATTGACCTACCTTTAAGAATCAGCGTGAATAATTAATAAAAATGTGTGTGTGTGTTTTGTTTTAGGAACAAGTGAAACAGGAAGCTTGTGACGAGCCGTCCTGTCCGGTGGCTAGCTCGCGTCTCACCAGCGGTCTGTTGAAGATAGCTCGACTTCTCGAGGACGGGGGTGTGTGTGGTATTCCCACAGATACTGTGTACGCTCTGGCTGCTTCCTGCAAGAATCCTCAGGCGATAGAAAAAATCTACAACATTAAAGTAAGAAGATAGAGGAGGCTTGTTTAACAGCAATATACATTTTCATGAAGTCACCATCTTGTTGAATTGGACCTTTTGCAGGACAGACCTGCAGAGAAGCCTATATGCATTTGCATCTCCAGTGTGGAACAGCTGGTTGCAGCCAGGCCTCCTTTCAGCCCTCTGCTGTGGGAGTTCATGAGGAATGTGTATCCTGGAGGCATCAGCTGCATTGTCAGCAAAGGAGACTGGCTTTACAGACTAGGTCAGCAGTGTAGAGTGTTTGAATGTTGAGTGGCAGAATTCTGTATCAGTATTCAGTTTTTACGTGAACTTTAACCTCATTTCTGTAGGAGTTGGACCTGCTTATGACCGTGTTGGTACCAGAGACAGCATCATGATCCGTGTCCCAGACCACACTTTGACCTGCCACCTATGTGACATCACTGGACCCCTGGCCATAACATCAGCCAATCCCAGTGGAGAATCAGACAGCACCCACCACAGCATTGTCATTAAGTAAGAGTTTCCTCAAAGAAGTTTAATGCAAACTAACAAACAACACATCTCTAAAACTTTTAGCACCATACACTAATTACTGTTTCAAACTGCTTCTTTTGCTGCAGTCGACTGGGACACAAGATCCAAGGAGTACTTTGTGATGGTGACTCGAATGAAGTAGTTGCTTCAACTGTGGTCAACTGCCTGAGGATTGATGAAGGTAAGGGGCCATGATTTCTTCCTACTGGGGCTGTTTAAGGTCAAGTTTCTAACTGAAGCTCTTCTAACCTTCGTTCAGGAGTCATCACCATTGTGAGAGAAGGCTGTGTCCCTGCTATCAAAGTCCAACAGATCTTTGACAGACTGAAGAACTCCATGATTTGAGTGTCTCTTAGCGAAGACTGTCTACCTGGCTGATCACGTTCAAGTCAACTTGTCTAACCCAAGCTGTGCTTTGCTTTTCATACTGACAAACAGCAAAAGAGGAAAAAAGAAAACTAAAGATGTGTGTTTATATGGATGTAACTTTTGTGTCTTAGTGGATGCATAGATAGATAGCTAATTCAAAAGTCATCTTAAACTGCATGAAGTCCACAATGTTTTGCATTATTTATATATTTATTGTTGTATTTATTTTCAAAATATATCAACACAAACACTTTGAATGTGTAAATAAGTATTTATGTTTTTTTAATTTATAATGTTTGAACTCATTGTAAAACAGAAAGAATGTCTTTGTGTGGTTTCTGCATTGAAGCTCTCTCGTGCATTAATTTGTTTGTGCAATAAAACAACTAAAGTTTATTAAGGCTTGCATCTTTAAATAATTACTAAATGTTTTCTAGATGAATGCATTCTCTCCCTCAGTACATCTTTATTCAGATCTTCAGATAAAACAATAACAACAATGGTGTTTAAAAGCTTGACAGAAATAGATATATTTTTGAACAATTACTAATTAAGCACTTGAAAGCATCTAGTTATTTGTCAGAGGTCATTAGCAGTTAAAGAACTCTGAAACAATTCAACCATCTAATTTTATTATGAGCTCTTTAAATATGGGGATCCCTTGTTTAATCAATACATTTGCAGTGGTCTCTAGTAGTAATGAAGGCCTTGTAAGTCGTACTCTGGGGAAACAGAGCTCAGGAACAGTTTCAGGAAGTAGAAATGAGCCACATCAGAGTTGAGGATTGGCCTGAAGTAGCTAATGCTAACGGTTAGCTTAGTCTGTTGGACACATTGTCTGCTGTTTCCTGGACCCTAAACCAACAACAGCCTTCCCTGTCGTGAGTCAAGATAGACGAGTCCAGGAATGCTACGCGACATTCTCTCTCTCTCTCTCTCTCTCTCTCTCTCTCTCTCTCTCTCTCTCTCTCTCTCTCTCTCTCTCTCTCTCTCTCTCTCTCTCTCTCTCTCTCTCTCTCTCTCTATTTATTTATATACATATATATATATATATTTATATATATGCATATATATACACTGTATATGGATGTGTGTGTGTGTATATATATATATATATATATATATATATATATATATATATATATATATAATCTTTTATTTTCTTTCTTTGAATATATATATTCACTTCTTTTCCGGCAGTCACAGAGAACAGACGCTTCTCTTTTTGCTCCCTTATCTTTTTTCCCAAGGCTCTTTGTCCTGTCTACCCACAGAGCGCTTCTCTGCACTTCTTCTGAAAACCCCTTTTTTTTAGGAATGAATTTGATAAATTGGTCACTCAACGCAATTGATAAGATTTTTTCAATAATGAGAACGGAGCAGGGGGCTCCCACTTGCCCGCAAAGGACACACCCGGCAGGAAATGTGATGGATTCCTGGAAATAGTGGAAGATCGTATGCCTCTCCCAGCCGTCCATTGAGGACGTCGTAGACGTGTGGATGTTTGGCCTGATGATCACTGGATTACTTCTGATTGGAGTGGAAGGATGTCTGGTTCTCTGGAAATTTGGGAAGACGGGAGCGATTGGAGGGCGACCCGCACCCACGGAGAGCACCGTCCTTGTGGAGACCTCACAGACTGGGATGCTACTTGATGTGAATCGCAAGCTGGACAATGTTCTAGCTGTGATACCGAAGTTAGTGCGCAAAATGGATGTCATCTCGGAGAGGGTCACTGGACGGTGTGGAGATGTTTAAAACCTAAATTGGCTTCACTGGAGGACTTGAATGATCAGTTACAGACTGAAGGCAGAGGGGAAAATTATCTCAGCCTGACCCAAACAAAGTCTTGTTATCCGAATCTGACGCCATGGCAGCCTTGAGATGCCAACAACAAACGCCCCACGAAGGAATGCAGACCGATGCTGTGAAAACCCGACCTACCCCCCCACCAAAACCATCTACCACCATCTACTCGACTAGAGTTCGCCTGATTACCAAAGCTCACTTCTCAGGTGACTCAGTTGGAATAGGCTGTTTAATCTCTCTTGTTTCTTAGAAGACTTCTCTCTCTCTTCGATGCCATGACTATTATTGTCCCTAACAGACGTCCATCCATCCATTCATCCACTTTAACATTCACATTTACAATATTATGTACAAACAATTAAAAATATTTGTAGTAAACATTATCAGCCGATACAGGAAATTACTCACTTGTAACTGATGTCTGTACTTTCCTCAGGTACCATAGTCTAGATAAGGAACAGCTGTTTGAAAAGAGACATAATGGTTGTGAAAATTCCTTGTGGGGAAAATGTGGAATTTCTAGTTTTAGGTTGTTTGTTCTTCTGGCCTCGTGTTGCTGGGTCGTCTCAACCATATCTCAGACATCTCTTGTATTGTTGAATGAGTTGAATCGGCTTTCTGAGGGGGTGGTTGACTTGACAAAGATTTCTATGACAGCATTGTCCCTTGTTCTTCTGAGTCACTTCACAGCAGATGTGAAAAACATCCTGTATCCGTAGGACTTTCCAACCACTGGGAGGAATTGGTGAAACGAGACTCCATATTGATAGATGATAAACATTTTTTAATAAGACACTGATTGGGTTAGACTTCATTTAAAAAACTTGCCTATGCAGCAAAACTGTTATGTAAGAACGTATTAGTAATCTGAATAGGCAATGTGTGAACTGATTGTGTTTTTCTATTAATTAGCCATTTCTAGATGTATTCAAAAATTATAAATAAAAGTCCCTGGAAGCTTCTTATAATTTTAAAGTTGAAGGGAACATTTCCACATGTTGCAGAGTTTTGAACAAATACTGAACATTACCTGTTGCTGGAGTCTGTTTGTTTAAAGAAAACCTTCGCTGTCACACGGAAAAGACAAAAGGGTTATTTTAACTATGCTTCTCATGTCAGTTCTCTTGTTCGCTCTTCCTTCTTCCATCTCAGGAACATTGCTAGGCTGAGTCCCATTCTGTCCCGCTTTGAACTTGAGACTGTTATCCACACCTTCATCTCCTCACGCTTAGACTACGGCAACTCTCTTTTCACGTGTCTGAGCAGAACCTCCCTGAACCGTCTACAGGTGGTTCAGAATGCCTGTGCTCGGCTTCTGACCATGTCCTCCAAGCACACCCACATCACCCCGCTTCTCCTCCAGCATCACCAGCTACCAGTCAACTTCAGGGTTCATTTCAAGATCCTGGTTCTGGTCTATAGGGCCTTACATGGACACGCACCATCTTACATTGGTGATCTTCTCAGTCCCTACACCCCCAGCAGGTCCCTGAGGTCCAGTGATCAAAGCCTACTGGTTGTGCAGTGCAACAAGCTAAAGACCAAAGGTGACAGATAATTTGCTGCTGTGGTCCCCAGACTCTGTAACTCTCTCCCCTTGAGCTTGAGATCAGTGGACTCAGTGGTCTCCTTGAAAAAGCAGCTGAAAACTCACCTGTTCAGGCTGGTTTTGGTGTGACCTTCACCACTCTCTCCTTGTTCTGCTCTTTCTACCTATTCCACCTTCATCAGTATCCACTGATTTCCCTTTTTCTTTTTTACTCTCTCTCTCTGTCTTTACACTTTTTAATCAAAATTGTCTATTATTTGCTCATTTTAAATATACCTTTAATAATTTTCTAAATTCTTTTTATATTTTAAATTTTTTTGTTTTTCGAAGCGCCTCGTGATTTTTATCTTGAGAGGCGCTATAGAAAAGATCTTTTCTTCTTCTTTACTCATTCAGTAGAAAGACTGCAGGACAGTTTCACCTAAAACACTTTTAACTACTTAATATTTAATCTGTTATTGCAACACGTAACTTAACAAGGAAAAGCGTTTCCAGGCTGAGGGATATTTGTTAGCAACTTCCTGTTGGAGGGTGGCGTAAAACAAATCTTGTAAATGGAAATGCTCCTGTAATTATAGATCCTCTCAAAGTTTCAGTCAAAGACCAAACAGAATGAGAAAAGTGTTTCACACGTGTGTTAGCTAATGGTTTCCAAGAGGAGGAAAGTCTTTGTCAGTTCCGTAGATCTACTCAAAGGGAACCAGTTTTATTTTTCTGCAGCTGGTTTCCGAATGACACCGGTACATGTGGGAAAGTGTTTACTGAAAACCGTAGGATTTCTGAAGTAGCAGTAAAAGAGCTGTGATTGAGAACAGGGCCAGCCAGAAATCTCAGGGAGTCATTAAAACTTTATCATATTTGTATTAGTGGTGACACATCATACATCACTGCACAGTAAAAAATGACCATGAAATTTACATAAAAATGGTGTAAATACAAAACAGAAAAGTACTGTAATCTGAAAAACACATTTTCTGTTGTAATCACAGTAAATGTTTGAAAAATCAAAAACAATATGTTTATGTAATATTTACATTAGCAAAATTCTGATTTGCCAAACTTGACCAAAACTCATAACATTGTGGTTTATTAAAACAAGAATTACTTCCCAATTAATTCAGTTTCTAGCTGACTCTCGAACCGGCCAATTCAGGAACAAGCATCTTCCAGACATCGCTTCTGACATACAGTCAAAGCCTCTTTGCACATTGTAGGCTGACACAGCCAGACGGCTCTTTTAAGAGCCAAACATCCGCTACACACAGACACAGGAGGAGGAGAGTGAGCATGCGCTGACGGCCGATCACCGGATACACGGCAGCGTTTCAAGCTGATGGCAGCTCGTTAACAAACATCCACAAACAATTAAGACACATTTTCGCCTAATTTATTTACTGACAACGCAAAAAATAATCTGGTAAGTATAACTCACTCAATCTGGAGGTAAGTGAAGAAAATTCAGAAAGTTTACTAAATTATATTGACGAAATTTTTGAGTTATTCGTCATGGGTCCGAAGAAATCAGCAGCTGAGGCTGAAACACCTGCTGGGACCAAGAGGAGCCGTCCTCAGGACTCGCCTGAGGCCTCATATCCCCGGAAGGACGTATTAGAATTATTAGATTCTATAGATAAACGGCTTCTGGGATTTGAGGGGCGACTTCATCTGCTCGAGGTTTCTTCACCAGGAGTTTCAGAACCTCCGAACATCTCTGGAGTTCAGTCAGGAACAGGTTGAGCGGCTCGCTGCTGAGAACGCGTCTCTGCGGGAGTCCGTTTCTTCCCTGGAAGAGGGAATGACGCGGATCACCCAGGACAACAAAACTCTGAAGGAGACGGTTTTGGACCTTCAGGCCCGTAGCACGAGGGATAATCTGGTGTTCGCAGGTCTGCCGGAGCAGACGGGTGGGGCGGAGAACTGCGAGCATACAATCAAGAACTTTCTCCAGACCGAAATGAAGATACCCGAAGAAACGGTACAAAAGATCACATTTCACCGGGTACATCGCCTTGGAGCTAGACGAGTGGACAGCAGAAGACCTCGTCCCATCGTGGCTAAATTTGAACATTTTAAGCAGAAGGAGCTTGTTAAAAGTCACGGAAGAGAGCTCAAAGGGAAAGATTTCACCGTGAATGATCAGGTCCCGAAGGAAATTCTGGATCGGCGCAGAGTCCTTTTTCCACTGCGTAAAAAGTTTATCCAGGATGGGAAGAGGGCTGTCATCTCGGTGGATAAGCTTTATGTGGACAATAAACTTTACAAGGAGCGAGGAGTGACTGACTGGCTGTATTAGCCCAACATCAGGTCAGACATTTATTATTCTTATCAGGATTCACTGGGTTTGATCACGTCAGGATTAAACAGCTGCTAAATCCGTTTTCTAGATGATAAGATCACCTGTTCATCACCACCTTACACCCCACCACCTCTTCTTTTTAGTTCTTTCTTCTTTTTTAACCTGTATCTGTACTTTCCCTTCCTCTTTACCTGCTTCTGTACCTTTACACCTGTATGGCACAACCACACAACTTTCCAACACTGCGTCAGACTCCACACACACACACACACACACACACACACACACACACACACACACACACACACACACACACACACACACACACACACACACACACACACACACACACACACACTGGCAGGCAACAACATTAACATCCATTACTGTAACAGAACAATGGTTATGATGGGGCAGTGTGATACAAGAAGCTGCTCAGATCTCTGCTGGGAACTTTCCAGTAAACATATTTTTGCATCTATGGTTTTTTTTCAGTTCCCTCCCTGCAATCCCAAAACATGTACTTTAGAGTAATTAGGAGTCTAATTTAATCTATGATCATGTCTCTGTGTCAGCTCTGTGTTATCCTGTTGTTCAGGTGTTATTCGTCTCTCTCCTGGTTAATACTGGTATGAGCTCCGTGACTCTGAACTGGGCAAAGTAAGGACAGAAAATAGCTATGAACATTTTTCACATTAAACTGGTCAGTGAGTCATTTGTAAGTTTCATAGTTAAACAGCCTGGAAGTGTACGCCACCACATTTAAAACAGCTTTTATTTTCAGTTAAAATTAGATCACATTTACAAAAGTAATAATAAAAAAATTATACAATAAATAAAATATATTAATATAATGTATTTTGTAAAATGTATTTAACTTTCTGTAAAGTTTAGATACACCTTCAAATAACAGGTAAGTTCAGTCGATTTCAAATGAAGACTTTTAAAATTTTATTTAGTTTCAGTTGTTGGCTTTTTATGACATAATGAGTACTTTTTTATACATACATGTACTTTTTATTGAATTAAAGACAGATACATAAACAAATACTATTTTAAGTACATTAAACAGCTTTTAAATGTCACTGAGATCATCTAATATAAAGTATATGTGTTTCACTAGGCTCTGTGTGCTCATGGTAAAACACCAGCAGTCATGAATAAATACAGAGGTTAACAAAGAAATTATAATTTACTTGAACACATGAATGTAATGCCTCCTAATCCCCTGGAAAACGTTACATTTTACTTTCCACATCTAAGCATGTTCACGGCTTATTTACGTTATGAAACAAGATCCACTATAAATGTAAGAAAGTGCTTTTATGTTTGTAACAACGCTACTTTTTCAACCATATAAAACAGCAGGGTTGTTTATATGTTTCAGAGACAATTCAGTTCATCATCATAGTTAATAACTTAAATCAATGAGATGGTGATAAACACAGAAAAGACTTTGATGAACGACTGCTGCCAGCCACATGGTTGATCCTTCATGAGCTTTTGTTGGAGAAATGATTGAACTGGTCTTCTCCACAAGCCAACATTGTTGCATGAAACTTCCTGGGTCGATCAGGATCCTAGCAGCAGAACCAATCAGAAGCATGATTATATAAAGAAGGTCAGACGTTCTAAAATACCCTGAAGAGATTAGTCTCACCTGAATGGGGTTTGCACAGGTGGGAACATAACGGATCACAAAGCCACAGCGCCTCCTCCGGGACGTGTTGGGATCACTTGCATGGACAAGAAATCCATCATGAATCTCTGGAAAAAAAAGTCATTATGAATCAAGTTGCAACTGTCTTTAGAACTATTTTAGATTACAGCAACAACAACTCACAGACATCTGTCCATCTTTCAGAGGACAGAACACAGTCTCCTCCACCTGAACCAGCTCCTCTGGGATCTCCTGGTTGACCGACAGCATGTTTCCAGAGCGGGTGGCTTGGCGATGGGGTAGCATGCCAGAGCGGTGGCTTCCTACAGTGAAAAAGCTGATCATGAGACAAAGCGCTAACTAGGACTGTGGGTTAAGCTATAGCTTCAGACGAAGTACCTGGAATAACCTGAAGGGCTCCGTTTTCCTTCTGTGAGTCATCAAGAGCGAGCCACACAGAGAGGACCGGACCACCAGCAATTCCCCAATACCTGTAAAACCAAAGGCTTACACTGAGAATCAGTGAAGACACTTTTTACATTTATTTTTTCACTGGAGTCACCGGGACCTCATATCCTGATGCCAGGCGACGTAAGGAAGACCGTTCTCCCCATCAGACTTGGTCGGACTTCCTTCATTCTCCAGGATGTTGGCTGGTTTGAGAATCGGGTATTTACAGATGAAACGAGAGTCCAGCAGGAGGACGTCTGGGCCCAGGACAGCTTGGATCACTTGCAGGATACAGGGATGTTTGGTCAGGCTCATCACCCAGGGATACTGGAGGTGAACGTTGTGGAGGCTGTACTGAGTGTACTCTTTACCTGCATATACAGTTTTGTTAGAAAATCAGTTTGGGACAAATGGATCAGACAGAACAAAATGTACTAAATAAATCCTGAATATTTGCAGCATGTGGAATTCTTTGCAGCATGTGTGATTTGTACATCCTCCTCACCAAATTCATCCTCCAGCTTAGCAAAGGCGTCTCTGGCTTCCCTCAGCTCCATCTCATTCAGCACGGACAGAGGAGACAGGAAACCCTGCTGGTTGTAGCTCTGCTGGAGTTCAGCCATCTTTGTTAGAGCGTCTCACTGCTGAAGCCTCTGAAAGGTTTGGATAACTAATCAGACAAAGAAAAGATTAGTTTTGGAAACATTCATTCAGTCTTTATCTCATAAATGTAACAATAAATCCTGCCATGCCCATTTTTCCCAACTGGTTTTTGAGAAAAGACCAATAAAACACTCACTACCTCCCTGAATTTAATTATAACGGAAAAGTCACTAAATTGTTTTAAATCTTTCCTGTCATTTAATTATAACACACGCACAAAATAAAAACTGTTGTTCCTTTTAAAAAGAAAACATGATAAAACTATAGAAATGAGTATTTTCAGGTGCAAATCTAAACTTTTCTTCTAGGCTACAGTGACAGCAGAAAACAGCTGGTTCTGTCCGTACCTGTCTGCTCAGTCTTTTCTCGTGTTCTGAGTCTGGACTCAAACACACGAGGCTCAGATTTTATACTCGCCGGCATCCTCTGGAAACGCCCGCTCTTATGCCAGCTGGAGTTATGTCACATATTTCCAGTAAGACAGAATCGAAGAGGAGAATCCGTGCAGTGATGTATCTATTGTTACAACATTCTGGTGTGTGGAGCCTATTCAAACATTTTTGTTCTCTCAGGTAACGAGAAATCTTTTGTTTTAATCAGCTGTGTTCTTTCCGAGTGTTGACTTCCCGCCCTTTTTCTGTACAAGGAAGCAAGGGGCTTGTACGTTTGCTTTGGTCAGAAGAACTCAGGATGACATCATCAGAAACTTGTCTGAATGATGACAGCACACAGGGCAGAACAATAATCAGATGAGTTTATTATCAGATGTTGCTCAGGAGAAAATAAAGTGTTTTTATGGAGAAGTGAAAATAAAACAAAACAAATGTGAGAAAGACTAAAGTAACTGGGAAATGACTTTCTTCCTTTCCTGTCCAGAGCTTGGGTGAACGTTCAAACCCTGCAGCTACGTCTTCACATGAGTGCCTTTAAACAGATGCCTCAGATTTTACCAAGAGACCAAATATTAATGTTATGCTTTTCTTTTCAGAAGTGTTGTTAGACTTGAGTTCAACTCAAACCTGAAGGATTAACCAGTAATTTACAGGCAACAACAATCGGTAGAACACCAGTCAGATGGAACAGAACTTACAAACATAAATCTGACACAATTAGTTAGTTCAGGTAAAGATGTAAAAGAACTTTTAAAGAAGGCCGAAAAAGAGTTAAATGTCCTCAAATCTTGGTTTGATGTAAATAAATTATCACTGAACATAAAAAAATAAAATTTCTAGGCGTTGTGATTGACTCTAATTTATCCTGGCAACATCATTTAAATTATATAAAAGGAAAAATTGCAAAATCTTTGGGTCTATTATATAAAGTGAAAGACAGGCTAAACTATAAGGCCTTACGTTTAATATACTGCTCACTAATACAACCTTACATGTCATATTGTATAGAAATATGGGGTTCAACTTTTAAAACACATATAAATGAAATAAAAACTATACAAAAGAAAACTATTCGAGTTATAAAAAGGAGCAATTATCATGCTCATACTGATCCGTTGTTTTTAAAATCACAGATTATGAAAATAGAAGATCTAAATTATTATAAAATAATGCAATTTATGTTTAGAGCAAAATTAATGTTTCTGCCAGAAAATATACAAATGTTTTTTTTTTTAATAGAGTGAAAGTAAATATGATTTAAGAGGTGTTTCTTTTTCTTTTTTTTCTTTTTTTTCTTTGCAAAGCAAGGCTACGCTCTCTGTTGAGGGTGTAACGTGAGGAAATATGGGTTTTCTGTCACATAGGTGGTGTTGGACTCAGCTGGGTCAAGAGATGGTTCCCTGAGAACTTTCACCCACAGATTGAGACCTTTGCAGACATGAAGTCTGCAAGAGTCTGCTGGAAACCATAACATCTGAACACCTGCAGTACCAGAAGATGTGTTCCCAGGAAATGTAGTCATAACAAGTAGTAAACTTCCTTTTCTCTATTTTAATGATAAAGATTTATCATTCTCATTTTGCTCATTATAAATGTGTTTTAATCAAATGAATGATTATTATGCTTTGGGTAATTATAATGGATTAATGAATCCATAGTTAATTAAATAATGTTTGAGGATGTTTGTTAACGACCTTCACGCACACACACACTCAAACACACCCACACACAGATTCTCACAGTAAACTCCAAAACACATTTGCTGACGCACACGTTTTGCTTTGAGAAGAGAAAGGCTTTTGGTAAGTTTCAGTCTTATGATTCAGTTCGTGTTGGACAACGAAAGAGAGAGGACCTGAAGAAACCAAAGGGGGGACAGAGCCGATCGGCTCATTTCCCCCCCCCCCCCCCCCCCCCCCCACACGCTGTTCCTGTCAGCCAGACAAAATAGCTGAATCGCAACTTCTAACGCAGACTCATACCGAGTCTTTTGATTTTCTGAGTGAGTTAAACTTAAGAAAGCGCATCTGCAAATGTTTTTCCATCAACGTGTACCGCGGGCATCTCTGGACCGGGCCGCGGACATCTCCGTCTCCTCTGCCAGCCGCTGGTGTCACCTGGATGAACATCACCATCCTCTGGCGTCCTGGATCTAAAAGAGGGTCCGACTTTAGGTGAGGCAGTCCACGGCAGATAACGTCTGATGCAGTTTTTCGGATAAGACCTAAGTTTATCCAAAACATCACTTCACTCAGACACCTGTTTCTTCCTGAAGCAAAATCAAACGCACACCCACATGCCTTCATCTAACTTCATGTTCAATCTTCACACATTCACCACAAGGTCTATTTGAGCAAGTTTACAATATCAACTGTTAAAGATTGTTCAACAAAGTTGCCATTGTTGATTGTTGTTTCATATGATTGTCATTTCAAAATCACTAGTTTAATTTGAAGAATTAAAGCTTTTAATTGTCAAACTTGTTTCTTCATTGAACTGAAACACAGACACATGGATATTATCGTCAGTTTATCGATGAAAACAACCTTTGAGTCTTCTTAAAACTATACAATTTGGTTATTAATTTAATAAACTTAACATCACAAATTAATATGTAGAATGGCTCCTCTTTCATAAAAGAGCATAAACCATAACGCTACATAATTGGCAGAGCCTAATTTAGGTTCACAACAAGGGTAACTCTGAAGTGCCTTTTGTCCCTCTCCCCTTGACTCTATCCTCATATAAACCCTCTTGATCTATAACGGTAGGGTGACTCAGGTTGTGAATGACCACAGTCACCAATTCTTGTCATATGTGTGCTTGTTGTCACACTGTGGTGTGGGTGGCGGCGGACCATGTGTGGTGGAGCTGACCAGGAGGCAGGAATGCGGGCTCAGATAACGTAAAAAATCGATTTAATGGCAGAGGATGCAGCAGAAACAACAAGACACAACAATGATCTGACGAGGGACACTTGAAGACGGGAGGTATAAATACACGGGGAACAATCAGGAACAAATGGGCAGGTTAACAAGGGGAAGAGTAGGAGTCAGAGGGAGGTAGGAGCAGATCGTGACATATGTATGTATGTCTGATTTGAGAATTGTCTGTACTGAAACTCTAATTTCCCTCTGGGATTTATAAAGTATTTTTGAATTTGAATTGAATTAGAATTTGTATGTATGTTTGTTGTACAAACAGCTAAAAAGGGTATAAAAAGGAGATGTATCTCTGGAATGGGAGTAAAATTTTGGAATGAGGCTAAAATAGAATTTAAATTAGCAACTTCACTTTCAGTTTTTAAAATATTTATCAGTAAAAATATTTTTGAAGAGTATTAATTTGATGTTGGTGGATGGGATTGTGTTTTTTTCTTTTTGGTTATTGGCACATTGAGGGAAACAGAAAAATTGATTTGTAAGTAGGTTAGGCAATTCTATAAGCTTTTGCTTCTACCTAAACCTGTTCAGTTATGAGATACTAAAATAGATACTATATACACATATATGAATATATACGTTGTGGAGGAATGGAAATATATGTATCTATTTGTATGATATGTTACTGTTTACATTAATTATTTTTATGATGACTGAATAAAATTGATCATTCATTCATTCATTGGAACAATTACTCACAGAAACATCTACTAAACCATGAAGACACAAATATACGTACTTTAACTGAAGCAAGAAGGTAAAGGTCACAGTTCGCTAAAATGTTCGTTTTACCGCGGGCGTTGAAAAGCGATGCTCTGGCACATCGCGTCTGAAACAAACGCTTGGTCACCCGTCATCAGTTTTAGACGCTTTTGGGTGTGAGAACGTGTTGCAGATAACCTCAAGGCAGCTGTTAAAAGACATCTACACAAAAGAGATGAAGCTGTTTTGTTGAGATTTATGAGGAAAAAATTCCCAACAGGAAGTAACTAACTAACTAACTAACTAACTAACTAACTAACTTGATTTGATTTAACATTTGTAGCGACAGTGGCAGAGGAGTTGAGTGTCCCCCCTATTACCAGAGGGTTGCAGGTTCAACCCCCATCTGTTGCAGCCATTGTGTCTGCTTTCACCTTCAGACAGCCACAGGAGGGCACTAGGGAGATGCTAATCACAGCTCCCTCGAGGAGCTGCTGTGGCAGGTGTGTTTTCCACACACCTGCACTCCATTGTACCAACTACAACCAGGAGGATAAAAGGAGAGGAGGCCATACCCACCTTCCTAATCTTCATTACTGGCCTCCTCATCTCCTGAGATCCTCCTGAGCTCCTGTTAACCTCCATCATTACCATCATCATCCTCAGCTACTGTGTGTCTCCTGTCCACCCTCCAGCATTATACCATAAGCTGCATCTCATTCTTCTACCTAGACTCCATTCAGAAGTTCCCTACGGTTCACCACCTGCTCTACAGTTACCCATCTCTGGCTCTCACCTACTCTAGCACCACTCCAGCTCCACCTCTTTTATGCTGATGAGCTGTTTATAATAAAGTTAAATACTAAGAATGTTTTTAAGAAAATGACTAAATCTATTTGGGACTGAAAATGCAGAAATCACTTGTTTTGCTATTTACAACATTTAGTTTAGTTTTAACAAAAAAAAAAACAAGCAAATCTTTGACCCTTTGAACCAGGAAGAATCCTGATATTCCTGGACTAAAACTCCAGCGGGTCATGTCTGACCACCAGGACTCAACGTTATTGTTTCACTGGAACGTGTCACTGGTTTTGGTTCAGAAAACCCCGCTGAGCAGGAAACACTTACACAAATCCTTTCAAGGCAAAGAAAACATAAAAGGTGATTAAACTCATCACTCGTGTAACCGTATGATGTCACTAAAATAATCATTTGTTGTCAGGTGTTAGTTGTTGTTGTTTAAATAATTTAAAACTGAGTTAGATACAAAAATTGAGTAAAAGATAATCAATAAAATGTCTGTAGCCAAATTGTCACGTTCAAGTTTCCTCAAATGTTGCTGAGATACTTCAAAAGAAAATAATTCTTTCTCTCTCTCTACCTCTGCTGCTCAGTCCTGCAGTATCAGATTGTCTCTTGA